GTATGTTTTTATATTATTTCGTTATTATTTGATCACTGACAAAGACAATAAATGTTATTGTCAATGTGATGACAGTAGTAACAAGATTTTCAAAGAAACATTGTTTTTTCCCTCTTCTTCTTCTTCTTCTTCTTTTTTTGTTCTTTTTTTCTTTCTCTTTTATTTTCTCTTCACCACAACATCGAGAAACAAAATCAGTCGCTCGATTTTCGAGTAGTTTCCGTATCAGGAAATCTCAATGTGACATTATAGACGTAAAAGATCGATTCTTAATATATATGATTGAGTATCAAACTACTATCATTTTGACTTATCTTTTGTTATTATTTTACAGAAATAAAAATTCACCTGTTCATAAAAATTTTATATTCATAATAAGAAATGAGAAAATCTAAATATTTTTGTTATTGTTATTACTGATGACAAAAACGATTAACAACAACTATAACAAATAAGCCAAGCCTTCTATACAATTAAGTAGATTGTTTTCTTTTTTCCTATTTTCTTCAGATCAATGCGATTCGGTTATCTAACCGTTATCTCTTATCGATGGTTGAAACATCGGTAATCTTTATCTTCTTGTTATTCTTTCAGTTAGAGATAACTCAATCATTAGATAATACAAAGTAATATAAAATTTCCACATAATATCGTTGTTCTACTTTTTTTTCTTTTTTCTAAATAAAAAAAAAAAAAAAAGGTTTTCAAATAGTTTCAATAATGAATTAATTATCAATACTACATCAGGTTTATTTCAAGGTAAAGAAATCCTAACTTATGATGTCTCAATTCGACAATATCTTGGTATTCCATATGGTGAAAAACCAGTTCGTTTTGAAATGCCTATATTACGAAAATATAATAAAAAAATTGTACATGCCATAGAACGTACATCAGCATGTTTACAAGCTCCTGGTGGTCTTTCATATGGTCCATTTGAATTATCTGATATGTATGATGAAGATTGTTTAACATTAAATATGTTTATTCCAAAAACAAAATCTTTAATTCCAAAAGCAATTATGGTATTTTGTCATGGTGGTTCAAATCAAGTAGGTTCAGGTTCATTATTTGATGGAAGTGCTGTAGCTGCAATTGGTGATGTTATTATTATAACAATTAATTATCGTTTAAATATATTAGGATTTTTAACACCTGATAGAAATATTATGTCAGGAAATTATGGTTTACATGATCAATTATTAGCATTAAAATGGATATCAATAAATGCAAAAAATTTTAATGGTGATTCAAAACGTATAACATATGTTGGACATTCAGCTGGTGCATCTAATGCTGTTTTACTTGCAATGTCAACACGATCGAAAGGTTTAATAGCTCGAGTTATTGCTCAAAGTGGTGGCCCATTAAATCAATGGTAAATAATATTAACCTTGGATGGTTTTTATTGTTTTTTTTTTTGGTTAATTTTTATAGGGCTATTGATCAAAATCCAAAAGTTCGATATGATAATGTTGTTAAACGAAATGGTATGGATACAAAGGAAAAATTTATTCAATCGAATATTGAACAATTGAAAAATTTATCAACTAAAGAATTTCGTTATATGTATCATTCAGGTTTAGGAATATCACCAAATTATCCGTACGAGATATATATTTGTTCGGAGTGATTTTTTTTTAAATAGTTGTTGTTTTTCTTTTATACAAAAAACTAGATTCCCGGTGGTTGATAATGATATATTAACTGATAATATTGAACAAATGATTCGTACAGGACCACTTGTTAATATTGATATATTAATCGGTGCAACAGCTGATGAATCATTATATTTTGCTGAAGATCATATATTTCGTCATTATTTACCAAAAAACGATCGTACAATTGCATATTTAACAGGCAATTTAGAATCATCAACAAAATCTTCAACGGGTCAATCGACTGAATATGAACAGCCTCGTGGATTTTCTTATTTTAAGAAAAATAAATATATTAAAAATTATTTACAAACAAATTATCCAAATCATTTATGTTTCTATGACGAAATACAAGCACGATATATGCCTCATATAAATCATCAACATAATGTAACTGAAGTTGCTCATCTCTATACAAATCGACTCAGGTAATTAAATTTTACTGAATAAAAATTTATTTTAATCATAATTTTTTTATGTAGTGATTTAATGTTCTATTATGATCTTGTTCGTTTTCTTCATGAACGTTTAAATTCTCCATCATTAGCATCAACATATGTTTATTATTATACATATCCACCAATATTCGACTTTGAAAATGTTCTACGACGTATGCCACATATGGTTGGACATTTTGCTGAACTTGATTTAATATGGGGTGTACCATTTTTTAATCGTACAAATCAAACAATATTAAATATGCCTTATAATATGAATTTATCTTATACAACAAAAGAAATTGAACTTAGTTATCAAATGATTCGATATTGGACAAATTTTGCTAAAACAGGTAAAGAATTTTTTTCTTGTTATCATATAAACACAAAAACAAAAAGAAAGAAACAAATAAATATTCTTATTTTAAAGGAAATCCAAATGAACAAAATAATATTTCGATTTATTGGCCATTATATGAAAAAATAAATAAATCTTATATAAATTTTCATCCCAATAAAATACATATAGAAAATAATTTTTTTGAAGAACGTTTTCAATTTTGGGATATAATATCACATCGTCCAATATGTAATCCATTTCGTTGGTATCATACATCTTTACTTATTGGTATATTAATACTTACACTATTATTAATATTAATTTTTATTTTTCATAATACAATACGATCACGTCGAAATATAAAACCAACAGAATTAACTACCAATAACATTTTAGTTACCTATCATTTTTTACCAAGTGTTGTATCTTAACTTAAACATTGATTTTCTTTTTTTGTGTCTTTGTAATTATATAGTTATATTTAGTTCAATTTATGTCAACACTTCAGTTTTTTTTTTTTTTAATTATCATATAAAAAGAAAGTCTATATAAAAAAAACAAAGAGAGCATCATAAAATGAATTAAAGCACTAGAGAATGGATATTATGCCAATTTTTTTTTCTCTCTCTTCTATGCATACATATGTCTCTCTTTTAGCGGTGAATTAATAAAGAACGCAAAATGTCGACAATGGTAATGTTGGCCGAGTGAAATTTTCTTCCGTCTGTTCCGTTTTCAATGCCCAATCGCGACACTGGGTTGAAATATAAAAGAAATAAAAAAAAAAGTAAGAGGTAAAAGGGACGCAGAAAAAGAGAAAGAAGAAGAAGGAAAAAAAAGAAAGAAATAGAAACTCATGTCTAGAGGTGTATGATTCATTCATATATGCGTTGACCGCCATTAGAGTAGTGGACAGATTGAGTCTATATCGTTGTGTCCTTTGCTTAAACACGACATTCTCAAGGTTATATGAATAATCCTTTACTTCTTATAGAAAACATTCAATCAATAAAGTAAAAATGGTAAGAAAAAGGTTATCAGTATGAAGACCTTGAGAAGTTCATAAGCGCATTTTTTTTTTGCTACTTTTTAGAATGGTGCTTATGCAAATGGCGGTAATGATGATCGAAATGATTCAACAAGTATAAAATCTTATAGATCGGCTGTTAGTAGAGATCATATACGAACAGCTAATCGTACAAAACGAAAACGTATTGGCAATGAAATTGATTTAAATGATATTAATGCTGATCTTGTTTATGTAAGTTTTTATTAATATTTGAGAATTATATTTCTTTTTCATATGTAAAATTATTTTCTTTATGTATTAGGATGAACATCAAATTTCAATTGAAGAACTTGTTCATAGATTTGATACAGATTTAAGAACGGTAATTAAAAGATTATGTTAAATTTTAATCAGAAAAAAAAATATTTGATGAAGATCATTTATAAGAAATATTTAAGAATTAACAAAAAAAAAAAAAAAAAAAAAAAACTAAATGAAGGATAATAAACTTTTCGAATGAACTTTTGAAAGATTCACGGGGAAAAAAAAAGAAAAACAAATTGGTATTATCATCATCTGTCTTATCAGATTATTTAACAAACTGACCTTTGTTGTTTTTCTTTTTTAATCTATGAAAGAAAAAATCATTTCCAAACTTATGAATTTCATTAATATATATAAAATTCTATTTATTTATTTTAAAATTTAAATGTTTCTTTTGTTTTGTTTTTCTTTTGACATTGATAAAGGGTTTAACAAAAATTCAAGCTAAACAACGTTTAATTGATGAAGGTCGTAATCATATTGAACCACCACATGTTAGCGTTTCAAAATCATGTGAACGATTTTGGTTACAACCTTATATACTATTTGTTTCAATTTTATCATTACTTGCTATACTTTGTTTTGTGGCTTTTGCTATACAACTTAATACACGTCAAGAACCAACATATGAGAATGTAATTTAATCAATATCTAATATATATTTAATTTTTCTATGTTTTTGTAATTTTATATTTAGCTTTATATGCTTATTGTATTGATAATATTCATTCTTTTACCAAGTATTTTTACATTTGCTGTTAGTCATATAAGTGCCAACAAATTACAATATTTACGATATCAAATAAAACAAGTAAGAAAAAAATTCTAAATTGAGTTATTTCGTGTACATAACAACAAAAAGAAAAAAAGATCAGTAGACAATGTAACAAAACGGAAGCCCTCCGATTATCGTCAGAGGACGAAAGTATGTTTAAGAGAGAAGAAGAAAAAAAGGAGAAAGGTGTGTATTCATGTTCGTCCTTCTCTTAAACATCACATCATAATATAAGTTTGTGAATAATGAAGATGATCCTTCAAAAATCGACAGACACATATACAACATAATGATGACATTTTTTTTTTATTTTAACATATTATTATATATATTTTATTCGAACTCTCGTCATTTTTTTTAATCCAATAAGTCTCGACTTGATGTTTATTATTGTAACTAATCGTTATTGAATATAAAAAAAAAAAAACAGAAAAAAAGAAAACAAAATAAAATAAAAATGATGTTGACAATGGTATTCATTTATTTATTAATTTTTTTAACAACAATTATTAATGGACAAGATACAACATCATGTGAATTAAAAGATTCATTATCATGGACACCATGGTTTAATTTTCATAAACCATCATTAAAAGGTGAATATGAATTACATGCTGCTATACGTAGTCGACATCCAACTATTGTTTGTGCTGAACCTCATAGTATATCAGCTGTTAATCAAGTCGGTATTGATATGAATCATACACTTGATATGATATTATTACGTTCATATGATGTATTTTGTTTAAATAATTATGATCCAAAATTTCAACAAAAAATTTGTGATGATTATAGTGTACGTTATTGTTGTCCAATAACATCAAATAATATACGAGATATATATTATAAAAATAAAACACAAATAAATTCATTTATTGATAATCAATCACGTGTTGTACAAACAAAATGTGGTCGTGTAATATCATCAAATATATTACAATCAACAACACGTACTGGATTTTTAATGAATTTATTTAATTCAATGCTTTCAAGAATAATTAATGGTGTTGAATCAACACCAAATAATTGGCCATGGCTTGTATCTATTGGTATACGATATCGTGCTCGAAATGGTTTATGGCAAAATCGTACACATATATGTGGTGGAACATTAATTGAACCATCACATGTTCTTACAGCTGCACATTGTCTTGAACAAAAAATTGATGATCGTTATGTTCCATTTACAATAACAAATCCAACATTAGAATCATTATTTATATTACGTATTGGTATACATGATATACGTTCAACACGAACAGATGAAATTTATGGTGTTAAACGTATATTTGTACATGAAAGATTTATATCAAGTACATTTGAAAATGATATTGCAATAATAAGACTTGATCGACCTGTAATAATAACAAAATATACATTACCAATATGTTTACCATCAAATAATATATTACCTGGTACACAAGTAACTATTGCTGGTTGGGGTACAATAACAGAAACATCACGTGTTCATTCAAATGTACTTCGACAAGCTAATGTTAATATATTACCAGCAACTAATTGTCGAGTTTATACAGATGTTCATTATGATACATCAAAACAATTATGTGCAGCAGCTTTAGATTGGTCAAAAGATACTTGGTAAAAATTTTTATTTTTATTTTCGATATGGAAAAAAAAATATTAATTGGTTTATTTTTAAAGTGCTGGTGATAGTGGTGGTCCATTAATGTATCAAGAAAATGGTGAATGGACAATAAGTGGTATTACATCATATGGTTATGGTTGTTCGAAACGTGGATTTCCAGGTGTCTACGTTCGTACAGTGCCATATTTAACATGGATTAAACAAAAAATGTTGAGCACTTATTAGGATCTTCATCATTTCGTTTTCATTTTTTGATCTGCATATAAATAAAATAATTTAACAGAAAAAGAAAAAAAAAAATAATAATTAGTTTTTATTTTTGGGCGTTGAATATAATCTTTGTTTTTTTTTCTTTATTTATTCTTTTTTAGCAAGTCGATGTTAAACGTGAAGGTGAATGGCAACGTATTAATTCTGAAGATCTTGTACGTGGTGATATAATACATGTACGTGGTGGAGATCGTGTTCCAGCTGATATTCGTATTGTACATACATCTGGTCTTCTTATTGATAATTCAATTTTAACAAAAGATTCTGATCCTGTACCTAAATCAGCTGATTATACAAATACAAATCCATTAGAAACAAATAATTTATTATTGTGTGGAACAAGTGTAAGTTATATTGATTTTTATATTATAAATAAAATTCAGAGAATGTTTGAGGTTTTTATTTCTTTAGGTTACTCATGGATCAGCTATTGGAATTGTTGTTAAAACTGCTGAACATACATTATTGGGTAAAATGTCAAATACAACTGAAAGTAAGTTATGATGAAGAATTTTTATGAAATACAATTTAAAAGAACTACTGAATTATAAGAGTGACACTTTAAACTAGTGGCGTAACCAAGGTAGGGCCAGGGGGGCTCAGCCCTACCACCCGACCGTTCAGCCCTACCACCTCACAGGCCTCAGTAACCTGAGCCCTACCACCGAATATTTAAGCGTTGCTGAGCCCTACCATCGCCAAAACTCTGGTTACGCCGCTACTTTAAACCCCTTAGAATAGACGCTATTCAGAAGCTGTCATAGGCCGTGACGGACGATGTTCAAATATGATCAAAGACTGTATATATTAATAAACTCTCATTACTATCTTCTTATTGAGTTTCTGAAGATGTATTTCAAAATGATGAGAATAAAATGATTTCCTTATGATTAGCAATAGCAATTAGATAATGCTAATAATTTTTCTCTTTGTAAAAATTTTTAGGTTTGGATCCTAAACGAACAATATATGCACGTACAATACGTTCTTTATTTCTTTTTCTTACGGTACTTGGTCTTGCTCTTGGTGTTATTTTCTTTATTATTCTATATTCAACCGGTTATTATTGGCTTTATGCTATACAAATAATGATATCAGTTTATATTGCTTGTATACCAGAAATTTTACCAGCTATAATACATGTAAAAAAAAAAAAAGAAAAATTTTTTGAAATATTTTCGTTTTTTTTTGCTATATATTTATAGTTATGTTTAACACGTACAGCACAACGTATGGCAACAAGAAATTGTCTTGTTAAAGTTATTGATGCATTATATGATTTAGCTTGTACAACAATATTATTTGTTGATAGATCAATTTTAACAAGTAATAATATGGCAACTAGTCAAATATGGATACCATCAAATCAAGAACGTATTCTATTACCTGCTCTATCAGATGATCTAACAGGTAAATATTTAATTTAAATTTATTCAACTAAAAATTTATGTTTTCCTTTTTTAGTTATACAAGAATGTATGCAAATGTCAGGTTGGCAAACATTAATGCGTACAGCTATACTTTGTAGTCAAGCAGAATGTTTTACTGATCAACATCAAGCAACTCGACATGCAACATTAACACAATGGTTTGTTCATTCGACTAAAATAAAAAGTCTTTTTTTTTTTTTCATATTATTTTATTTTTTGAAAAATTAAATTAGGGAGGGTGATGCACGTGAAATAGCAATAATAAAATATGCTGAATATGCCGATTTGGATATAGCTGCTATACGTCAATTGTATCCTCGACGTGATTTTCGTCCGTTTACACCGGAAAATAAAAGAATTGTTTGTAATCGATAAAAAATTATTTCATGTCATGTTTTTTTTTCGTTTCTTAAGGAATCATTTCATTTTAATAATGAACCAAATATGGAAGGAATGTATCTTGATTGTATGATGGGTGCACCAGAACGTATTTTTCATCGATGTGCAACTGTTTTTTTAAATGATGAAGAAATACCAAAAGATGGTGATATTGTTTTAGAACGAATGTTTAATGAAGCACTTATTCAAATGGCTTCACTTGGTGAAACTGTTCTTGGTAAATTGAAATTTCTTTTTTTTTTTTTGTTTTTTTGTCTCATTGTTATTTAATTTAGGTTTTGCTGATCGACAATACCATCGTGATGATGGTCCTCAAGAAAATTGGCGTTTTCTTGGTCTTATGTCATTTAGTGATCCAATTCAAGAAGATGCTGTTACAACAGCTATTAGAAAATGTCGATTAGCTGGTGTTAAAGTAAATTATTCATAATGAACAGAGTTGAAATTGATTGAAGTTCTTGAGATTTTTAATACTTACATCTTTCATTTTGTCAATCATATACTAAGATTGTTTCTTTACAAGAAGTGATCGGTTTGTTGTTATTTTTTGTTTTTATTATTTGAGATTATTGTTTCGACGTATTTGAAAATTAGAATACTGCTTAAAGTTTTAGTTATCTTGAAAAAATTAAGAAATAGTATTATCCTTACTTGACAAAACTTTTCCATTCGTCAGCTAGTATTCCCAATAGGAAATTCTAAATCAAGTACAAAGTTCAATTTTGAATTTTTTTGCCTATTAAGAGTCTAGGAAGTGAACTTGAAATTTTGCGATGTAAAATTTCTAGTTTTGACTAGGTGTTTATTTTCTGAATCTGTGATTAACTGTTCTTGACTCTCATCAATATATTCAGTATGCTTCGAGATCACTCATTGCATATTGTGAAGCGTTCGGACAACAATTAGAGCTTGAATTTCGCTGTCAAACTAGAAATTTATCGGCTCCAAATTTTAAGATGTTGTTTCAATTATTAAAACAAAGTAAAAATATACTAGCTTCTCTACTCTAAAAAGTAATAATAACAAACCGAAGACAATCAGACTAGACTGGAAACCGACAAATAGACTACTGACAGGTCTAAAATTTTCCGACTCGATGGGATCTACTAGCAAATCGGTAGGTCTGGTACCAATTCCAAATTTGATTCTTACATACATGAGATTTCATAAAGTAAATAAAGAATTTGTATTTTCTTTATAGGTTATTTTAATATCTGGTGATCATCCAGTTACTGCATGTGCACTTGCTAAACGTTTAACTATATTTTCAGCTGAATCTGAAACTGTTGAAGATGTAGCTATTAAACTTGGTATACCAGTTGAACGTGTTGAACCACGGTATATTTAAAATAAATATTTGAAAAGAATTTCTTTTTCTTTTTTTCATAGACAAGCAACAGCTATTGTTATTCATGGACGTGATTTACATAGTATATCACAACTTGATTTAGCTGATACAATAATAAATGCACCTGAAGTTTGTTTTGCTCGAACAACACTTCGACAAAAACAAAAAATTGTTGAATGTGCACAATTAGGTAAAGCTGTTGTAGCATGTTTTTGTCAATCATCTGATGATCGTGGTGCTATAAAAAAAGCTGATGTTAGTGTTGCTATGCTTAATGGTAGTAGTGAAGCATCACGACAAGAAGCTGATCTTGTTTTACTTGATAATGATTTAAATACACTTGTTGGAGCTATTGAAGAAGGTCGTTATTTATGGGAAAATATTAAAAAATGTTTAGCTTATTGTATTGTTGTTAATGTAACACAACTTACACCATTTCTTATGTTTATTATATTTCAAATACCATTAACACTTGGTCCAATAACATTATTACTTGTTGATTTAATAACACAATTATTACCAACAATATCACTTGCATATGAAAGACCAGAATCTGATATAATGACAAGAGGACCTATTGATAAATTTCGAGATTTACTTATTAATCGAAAGTAAACGAAGAGAAGAAATTGTTGAATAAAAGAAAATTTTAATTTTTTTTTGTTTCTATATGTTAGACTTTTATCACTTTGTTGGGGTCAAATTGGTGTTATACAAATAACAGCTGGATTTTTTACATGGGTTGTTGTTATGGCTGAAAATGGATTTTGGCCATCACGTTTAATAGGTATTCGAAAAGCTTGGGATGCAGCAGCAATTAATGATTTAGAAGATTCATATGGACAAGAATGGGTAAAATAAGAAAAAAATAATTTATTTTCTAAATAATATTTATATATATTTTATATAGACTTTTCGACAAAGAAAAATACTTGAATATATGGGTTATGCAGCATTTTTAGCAGCTATAATTATTGTACAAATGGCTAATTTACTTATATGTAAAACTCGTCGTTTATCATTATTTCAACAGGGTTTACGAACGTAAATTAATTATAATTAATATTTTTATTTAATTCTATGTATTATTTTTGTTTATTTGTTTTTTTTTTTATATAGAAATATGTTTGTCAATTTTTGTTTAATATTTATGCCAGTTGTAGCTGTTCTATTGATTTATATACCAGGTCTTAATCGTGCAATTTTTCTTGAACGATTACAGTAAGATAAGTTTTTTTTTCTTTCTTCGATTTGTTTTTTCAAATATTTATTATATTTAGACCTCTATGGTGGTTATGTCCTATACCATTTGCATTACTAATTTTTGGTTATGATGAAATACGAAAACTTTTTATTAGAAAAAGTCCTGAAGGTTGGGTAGCTAAAGAGACATATCATTGATTCGACATGAATCTCAATTTTTTCTTTTTCGTTTTTTTTTCTGCACAATTTTTTTTCTATCGTTTTGTTCGTTCGTTTTTTTTTAATTGGCTTACTTCGTGTACATTCCAATATGGTTTCTTTTTTTCATGCAATGATTATGTAATCATTTATATCATAATAATAATAATAAGGTTTTTCTTAAATTAGTAAATCATGCGTTATTTACTAAGAAATGTAAATATCATTGGATTATGAATCGGTTTTTTTTTGATTGAATGATTCTAATTTTTTAAATATGCATTTCATGGCGTATGCCTAAGTTATATAGTCTGAAGTAGTATTCATCGAGTGAGAAGAGAACCTCTTTCTAACACTTTCTTTCGATTTCAATAATTTTTGCCTATCTATAGACATTTTCTTGAGGTTCTAGGTTTTTGAAATACTTGAATTTCAGTTTTACACTTTGTGCATATAGAGAACTCAATTAAATTAACTGTCATAAAAGAAGAAGGCAGAAGTTTTGAATAAAGCCTGTTCGAGATATGAGACTGTCAAGATATAGACCTTTTTTTTTCAAAGTTTCATATTCGGAACATTCTTCCGACCTTCTGATTTTTTTAATATAAGCTAATTTAGTTGAGTTTTCTATATGTGCAAAGTTTAAGATCAAAATCTAAGTTTGCCCAAAAACCTACAGCGTCTAGAAAAAAATCGATAGCTTTGTCAAATCTAAATTCTTTAAGGATTTTTTTATTAGAATATTATGTGGTATCTTTAATCAATGAAAACTGAAACGAGTGTCTGAAGAAATTCTCTTGTGAACTCATTTTAAGATCCAAACATTGTCTTTAAACGTTGAGGAATTCAAAATAGCGAAAACTCTACATTGTTTCGTGTTTTATGTCAAATCAATAAAAGGGCGATACTTTTTTTCACATATGCAATAAACTGTTTAGGATGGGTATTTTCTTTTTTGTTTCTAAAAGTATTGTTCTACTGATTTTTGGTAGTTCTTACAAAAAAAAAAAGATATCCACTTCAAAAAGCATCTAATGTCTGTAATAATGTTCAGCTCGATCGAACATAGTATCTCGAGGAAACAGAAGCCAAATTTGAGGAGTATTGTAATCCCAGACAGCATTTGGATTAATAAATTTTTGCTTTACATGTCAAGATGTACCTGTCCTTAAAATTTCACAGTTTTTTTGATAAACTATTCACCATAAATCCCGGCAAGAGAAAGTACTTTTAAGAGCCTCTTTTATCAATAATGAATAAATGTGGTTATATAAATTAACTGTAGGAAAAAACATTATAAATTATCATAACCTTTTTAGTTAAATTTCACTTGACCATTGTCTTTATTTTTGAAATTTGCTTTATATTTATTTCCTTAATATTTCTCATTAACAAAATCTATCATAATAGAAAACATACTTTAAGTGCTTCTTTTGTGTATCTGATAATCAAAGTAAACACAATACTTATATAAATATTTAGCGTTCAATGACAAACTTTATGTATTTCTAAAATTTTCAGTGATCTACTTAATCTTCGTTTTTGGTTTTTAAATAATATCTTCAAATATAGAGAATAAATAATGTGATCTACTAATGAAAAACAAACTTGTACATAAACGGAGAAGAATTTTTCAAAAATGCATTTATAGACTGTAACAATAACTCTCGTTCAAGCGTTGTGACATGACACAAGCTAACGAGTTTTGTTATAAAAGTTCCATAGAGACGTTTAAAAAAATCCAAAAAGTTTTGTCACGATACTTTTGATATGCAACATTCATAGAAAAGTGGTTTTTTTATAATCAAAACCACAGAACACAAAAAAAAATAGAATCTTATACATGTTTACCAACTGCAAACATTGCCGTTCTATCTCATTGAGTATTTAGTTTTGTTTATATGTCAAAATTTTCGTAAAAATAAATTCCAAAAATTGATCATTTCACTTAGTTTACTTTACAATAGAAATCTAAACAAAGCTTCTAATTTAGTTTTTCTTCAAGCTGGTAGTCTCAAGGTAATATATTTCAATAATAAATATCATTCAAATAAAATTACAATTTTCCATTATATTAAATAAAATAAGTTCAAATTAGATCTAATCTTATTATTACAATTATTCTTTTTTTCTTTTTTTTTTATAAATGTCTCTCTTGACATGATTAAAACTTGATTTTTAATCAACAATAGAATATTTCATAAAGTAGTCTTGATAGAAAATATCATAATTCAAGAGGATATATCATTTTCAAAAAGAAAACAAACAATTAATTAATGTGTAATCAAGCTAATATTCTTCATTTTCATTTGAAGTCAAGATCTTGGAAAAAAAAAAGAAAAGTACTTAGCTCTATCGAACATATCTCCAATTATTCTTTTAATTAAACATGAAAATTTTTTAATATAAGTGTTACATTTACCTTGGTCAAAAACACATATGACAAGGTATAATAAAATATAACCTTGTCAAGAATATTATGATCAAAAATAAAAATTTTTAAGACAAAATATAATAGTCCGATATGCCCTTAAATTATCTTTCAATTTTTTTTTTAATTTTTAGTTAAAGAATAACATTAGTTCGGTTTACATTGATAAATTATATAAAATTATTAAAAAAAAAAAAAATTGAATAAAAGAAAGATACTATTTAATGTTATATCTTTAGTCAATAATTGATTGTTATTTTATTTTTGTTCTTTTCTTTAAAAATAGAACGGTGATGTTTGACCTTGATGACGACAAGTGAGGAAAAGACAGAGAAAACAAACGAGAAACACGCGGATAATTGGAATCTGTGTTTTTTATTCTCTCGTTTTCATTTTTTTTCGAGGTTCTTCCATGCATGACACACAATATAGTGTTGTTCTTTGTCTCTACGTCTGTCAGAATCGATGAGTCTGGAGAAAACAGAACACAAGAGTAAAAGAGTAATGCCTTGATTTCGAGGCACCGACAAGGATGACGATGATGATGATGATGATCATCATCATCATCATCAGCATTGTTGTTGCTTACTATTGAAGGTCATTTCTCCTCATCTTTCTTTCTTTATTCTTCTTTTATGATGTATTGCCGACAACAAACGAACGATGAACACTTAAAATCATCGGAAATGATGACCAATTATAGACGATCAGTTCTAATTCAAGGTTATCGTGATAATAAATTGAAGTTATTCTTTATCATAAGAACAAAAAAAAAAAACACGAAAAAAAAGAAAAACTTATTCCAAATTATGATTTCATTTCTATTTTTCAATCTCAATTAATTTGATAAATGATAGGTGTCAGAGAAATGGCAAGATGTTGAAATATATATGACAAAAAAAAAGAAAGCGAGAGTTTCTACAATGGACATACTTTATGTGAATAAACGAAATTGAAACGACACAATATATATATATTCCTTTTCTTTTCTGTTCTTTTGTAGTCTTACGCATATGTGACGAGAGGAAAGAAAGATAAAAAAACAAGTGAGGAAACAGAAAATACTTTATGAAATCCAGGGTTCTGTTTATATCGAGGGACAGCTTGTTACTTGTGTATGTCTCTCGTTGAGTAGCGTACTCATGAGGCAAGATACAGAAGTGCATAAGAGAAAGGGAGAGAGAGAGAGAGAAAGCGCGCGCAAAAGGAAGAAGCAAGCAATAGCACCAGCAGTAACAGGAGCAGCAAATAGTATAGAAAGAAAGAAGTGAATGGCAAAGAAGAGAAGCGAGCAAGCAATCGATCTTGTATGTGTGCATGTGTATGCTAGTACAGCAATGAGAAATAAAATACCATGGTGTTATCAAAACAGCAGAGACCCTATTGCTTAAGTAAAAAAAAAAATGCGAGAATGACGATGTTCTTGATGTTGACATTGTCATCACTATTGATATTTTTTTTTCTCGTATAATATCTATTCTTCAATCGTTCTATTGTTCATCAATCCGTGACTTGATTATTATCATCATTTCTTTCTTATAAACAAAATAACGCACACACACACATATATATTATTACTATTTTCTATTAACAATATATAATATTGTGGTAGGTTGTTTGAATTTCTTGTTTCTTTTTTTTTTTTTTTTTGGCATTTGAATCTCTACTGAACGTATTGTTATTATAATTTTTTAATCAATTTTATATAAAGAATATATCGACATAGAAAATAAGTGGATTCTAAGGATATGTATTATATTTCATCATATAGAGTAAATCTCTTTCGTATCAAATTCTTAATATAATGTCCAAGATATACTATAGACAGTAGTTATACCTTATCTAGTTTGCACTTGTTATTGTTATTAATAACTTTATAGTATTATTAAGGTTAGCATATGTGTATTGTCCTCAGGTGCTTTTATATAGATTTTAGCTTTCATTCACTTTCTTTTTTTTTTGACAATGCGAACAGATACAATATAACCCTTAGGTTATATTACGTCTGAAAATTAAAGCAGATACTTGTTATATATTTATATCCATATGTTTGTCTTTTATTTAGTATGTATATATAGGTTTTTTTTGATATTCTTATCTAATTAGTTTATGTATGTAGTTTTTCTTTTGTTTTTGTTAAAATAATCTTTCGGATTAATCTATACAATAGAATAATAGTTTGTATCTTTCTTTTTTGTTTTAATTTTTTATATTAAAAGCTTAGAAAATTGAATAATATATAAATATAATTAATTTTTTTTCATGATCAGATTATTTGATAATGATTATTTTAATAAATTAATTAGATAGAAAAAGTTAGAAGCAAAAATAATATTTTAATCATTTTTTAATTATGAAAATATAAAATATTTGTAAATTAATATGAAATATATATTACTATACTATATTCATATTTACATATATGTTTAATATTTTTGTATGTTAAGAATCTAAACAATGTATTGACATGTTAATATATGAGAATTCTTGTATGTGTATGTAAGAAATATTTTCTTTTTTCTAGATATAAAATTTGAACTTAAATGACTTCTTTTATTTGATAAGCTTC